ATAGCACTATGGCTGAAGAATAAAACCTTATATGTTAGAGACTGCAAGCAAAGGCAAACAAACTGTACCTTCATCTTGCTATACTCTGTTAAAATCGGCAACTCGTTAAAAAAGAAAACACCTAAAGAAATAAGAAAAAAGGGGGAGGGAAAGGGGAGGTGGCGGTGGGGAAGAGACAGAAATCTTTAATAAATAAATAAATTTAAAAAAAAAGAAAAAAGAAATAAGAAAAATACCTACAGACATTAAGTTAGAGGTTTCCCAGAAACGCACATTTCAGCAAGTTACAGTAGTATGTTTCCATACGACTTTTTAGGAAGAATACTACATTTGTTTTCCAGAAGTATTTGACTACTTGTAAAATTTTAAAGTATTTTCTAAAATGAGTTGATTCTTTAAACTTTTCATAGATACCAAAGATAGAAGACATTAGAGAACATGGGGATGGAGGACACACAAGAACCTCTGTGGAGAAAGCTCTCACTTGAGGCCTATTCTTCCAAGACTAGGAGATCTGAGTCATAGCCCAAACCCATTGTGAGGACCCTGCCCCAGGGAATCTCATGCTTGCTGTCCTTACCTTGAAAGCACAGTGCAGATTGATGCCTAACCTATAGTCTAGGACGATAAAGTGAAGCTCTCACTGACAATGGAAATCAAACTTCCTGTCTATCAGTGGCCCCAAGAGGGTGCCCTGAAGCAGAACATGTAAGAAAGAACCTCTGAGATGCACTGTAAGGGGAACCTGGAGAGGGAGTCAACCAGAAAGTGCTGTGACACTACAAGGAGTTTCTAGTAAAAGCTGGTAGGTGAGTGTGAAGGTATCATGACAAAGGTCACCTGACTTTCAGTATCTAGCAGGTCCAAACTTCTCTAAGCTACCACAAAAGGGCTCGAGTCAAAACATAATTCCCCAGTCCTCTTAAATCCACTTCCACTTCCAACTTCAACCATGCCAGCTAAAGCAAATAAAAAAAGGGGGGGGGGGGACAAGGGGCACCCTCTAATGTCATCACTGTCTCTGTTCCCTGAGCCTAGAGACTTTTGGCAGAGACTTGAGAGGTTAACGTTACATCAAACACAGAGCTTTAATGTGACAGAAACCCGACACCTGCTCTTCTAATCTGATACCACATTTTGTACCTAAGACCTCAGACTTTACTAATTAGTCTCATAAAGCCAGAAATTAATTCTCATCTAGAAGCAGACTCACAAATCAGCTTGAAAGTTCCCCAGGTCATATAAATACAGTCAAACATCAGTGTCACATTTTTTCAAAATATTGGCACATTATATATTGTATCCCATACAGTAATGGTTATTTTCCCAGAAAACAACAATTACACCAAAAACAAACAGCAGCATTGTCTAAGAAAAGAAGTTGTTCCCTCAAGATGCAAGTGAGGAACTAATTCAAATTAAGAACTACTATCAACAGAATATTAACTCAAAGCAAAGTGAGACTATTTCAGGTGTGTGAACAATGAGATGATTTATCTCCACAGAACCTTTTGAAACTTACTCCTGGAGACACTTCAGGTGAACAAAAAAAGACAGACCACAACAAGCAATGCAGAAACTAAGTAGGAAGAGCAGCTGCGTGAGCTAACGAGGTGTGAAAAAGAGGCTACATTTAAGGATAAGTTTCAGGGGCCATCTACTACTCCATGACTCTATTAAAACAGTTAATTCTCTTTGAAATAATATTTATTTACATATAATACATTTCACTTGTGTTTTATCAAATTCGCTTATTAATTTACAGAGAATAAAATTAGCATTATAAATGAATGCCAGCACTTCCAATCATGAGAACAGTTCAATGAGATGCTCTAAATGTGTCTTTACTTCCATAACAGAATCCATGGTGCCAACTAAGTAAATAAAACAAATGCACTGTTTGTATGTATAATATATAAATTATAAAATGTATGTATAATAGTACATACATGCAAATTTGAGTGCTGACTGAGAAGCCAAGGACAATGGCATTGGGTTTTGATCCTACTGCATGTAGTGGCTTTGTGGGAGCCTAGTCTGTTTGGATGCTAACCTTCCTAGACCTGGATGGAGGCAGGAGGACCTTGGACTTCATACAGGGCAGAGAACCCTGACTACTCTTTGGTCTGGAGATGGAGGCGGAGAAGTGGGGGAGGGAAATGGGGAGAGGGGAGGAGGTAGAAATTTTTAATAATAATAATGATGATGGTGATGATGATGATAGGAGGAGGAGGAGGAGGAGGAGGAGGAGGAGGGGAAGGGGAAGGAGAAGGGGAAGAGGAAGAGGAAGAGGAAGAGGAAGAGGAAGAGGAAGAGGAAGAGGAAGAGGAAGAGGAAGAAGAAGAAGAAGAAGAAGAAGAAGAAGAAGAAGAAGAAGAAGAAGAAGAAGAAGAAGAAGAAGAAGAAGAAGAAGAAGAAGAAGAAATTTCCAGGAATCCACAAGGATAACCCCAACTAAGACCCTATGCAATAATGGAGAGGGTACCTAAACTAGCCTTCCCCTATAATCAGATTGATAACTACCTTAATTGTCACCATAGAAACATCAGCAAGTGATGGAAGCAGATGCAGAGATACACAGCTAGCTCTGGGCTGAACTTCCAGAATTCATTCAAAGAGAGTAAAGAGCAATAATATAAGCAAAAGCATCAATACCATCATGGGGATACCCACAGATACAGTTGATCTGAGCTAGTGGAAGCTCACTGCCTCCAGACTCACAGTGGGGGGACCTACATAGGCCCAAACAAGGCCCTCTGGTTGAGGGTTAAAGTTGTATGGCTAGGAAAGTCTGTGGGGCCACTGGCAGTGGGCCAAGGATTTTTCCCTAATGCTTGAACTGGCTTTTTGGTGCCCATTCTCTTTTGAGAGATACCTTGCTGAGCCAAAATATATGGAGGAGGGCCTTGGTCCTGCCTCATAATGATGTGTTAGACTTTGCTAACTTTCCATGGGAAGCCTTACCCTCTCTGAGGAGTGAATGGGAGTGGGGTGTGTGGAAGGTGGGAGGATCAGGAGGAGAGAGAAAAAGGGAACTGGGATTGGTAGCTAAAATGAGAAAAGACTGTTTTAAAAATAAATAAAAAACAAAACAAAAATCTATTTAAATAAAAAATAAATAAAAATAAATATTAATAAAAATGATTGATCAAAAAAGAAAGAAGAGGCAGGTTCACTCTATACAGTTCAGGCTCTTTGAGGTCTCAACTGTTTTTAATCATGTTGTAGGCACTTTATTATGTGTGATAATACATCACAAAGAAAAATATACTCTGCAGTGGTACATAATTCTAATGCTCTGTGTTTAAAAAGCTCTCTGTCATGTAGCATGTCAACTCTGCATTACAAATATAAGGACTTACAAGAGTTCACAAATGGCTCACCCAATTGTAACTAAGCATGGCACACCACCTAAAAGAGTTTATATGTATATCACTGGATGAGAACATCCTAAGTGATGAGGACTTCCATGACTAAAAGTTGGGATTGCATAGAATCTACCTCACATGAACACGACATAGGAACAGGACACTAACCTGAAGATCATCAAAGGTCACTGTGTCAAAGCTTAACATACCCTGAAAATGTTTATACTCTAATATTTTACACAATACCTGATTCCAATGCATATTCCAAAGGAGAAAAAATGTAATTTTAGTATTATGCATGTACATGCTATTGGTTGAATTTATAAAAATTGATTTTCTAGTAGACCACCACTAAGAGTTATTCTAACAGAAAATATTCTCAATTAAAAATAAATGTCAGGACTAGACATATAACTTAATATTTAGGAGGACATGTGAGGGCCAAAGCTAGGATTCCAGTACCCACATAACTAGACAGAGTCCTCCACAAATGCTGGCAACTCAGGAGCCAAGGCAACTGATTTCCTCTTTTGGTCTAGCTCATGCACAGCCAGGTGTACCCACGCACACTGCATACACACATACATACATAATACAAATAATCTTTAAAAATTAAATAAAAAGTAAATGCAGAAGTTATAGTACTCTCTAGTAACAAACATTTTATAAGTACAACTATTACCAAATTCATGATTGTACAGAATTTTTATAACAAGAAACTATATTCCTGTGACAGCTCATGTTGACTGTCAACTTTATGGGATCTGGAGTCTCCTAAGAAGCCAAGGCACACATATAGGTGGTTCCCTAGATTAGCTCAGCCTCTGCCTGTGCCCATAAGGGATGGTCATCGTTAGACTAACTGTAATGGAAAGACCTGCCCTTGATGTGGGCAGCATACTGCCTGGGAGAAAGTTTGAAAGTGCGTGAAAGGGAAAAGAGGCAAGGAAACATCATTGTTCACTATTTTCTAACTGCAGATCCAATTCCATCAACTGCCTTGAATACCTGTTAGCATGACTCCCTTACTCTGTGGCTATTAAGAAGCTCTTATCCCTTTAATTTTCCCTTTGGTATTTTATCAGAGTAACCAAATACATAACTAAAATAACCCCACCATATTTTACATTCTTTCTTTTTCATGTTTTATTTCTTTGACTATACACGTCTATATAAGATTTTAATCACTGTTTTGATTGCAAAGGAAATGTATTAACTATGCAGATAAGTTTTTAAATAGTGCATAATTCTATTCTATGTATTTTGTTTTGTTTTGTTTTGTTTTGTTATTTAAGGAAGATGAGGGAAATCAGGTTGGCCCACAGGGAAAGAAAAAGCCTTCCTTTTAGGACAGAGGTAACTGCATGGAAACATGAGCAGGATTGCTGGCGCCTGGGGCTGGGGTGAGTGGCTATGCAGACACTCACTGAGCTGCCCTGACCACTAGTAAGCACGTGCCCGAGTTAACAAGCTGCAGATACTGTTTACCCAAGTTCTAGTTTCCCCTGCAAAAGAGCTTGTCGTAAATAAACTCTGCAGTCCTTTTGCACACGCAAACTGACACTATATAGACTGTATTCCTATAAGAATCAGAATGTGAAACACCAGCTAGGAGTACAGATAAATGCATACCTTTTTACCATTCTTCATCTTTGTTTTAGGCCCATTTTCTTCCCTGGCTTCACGAAGGCATTTCTGAGTAGGGCCTTCGGACTTGTTTTCTTTCTCACAATTGTGACCAACTGCAAAACAAAAGCAAAACATTTACCTGTAAAAGATAGGATTGTAACAAACATGTAGAGACCAAGATTTTTATACATTCATTATAAGAGTATTAAAACTAATCTCTATGAGGTACAATTATATAGGCTCATGAGATACATCAGTTTTTACCCACACCTGCCAACAAGTCTGTTGACCTCAGTTTGATCTCCGGGACCACATGGTGAGAGGACTGAACTGATTTTCACAAGTTTTCCTCTGACCTCCACACTTGTATGGTGGCACACACTTGCATGTACACACACATACCACATATACACACAAAATAAATGGTTTATTTATTTACTTTATGTGTATGAGTGTTTTGTGTTTATATATATATATATATGTATGTACATGCATGCTTGGTGCCCACAGAGTACAACAGAGGCATGAGAACCCCTGCATCCAAAATTAGAGATGTTTGCAGTCAAGCCCAGGTCTTCTGTAAGAGCCAAAAGTGCTCTTAGCCATGTAGTCATCTTCCCAGTGCCCTTCTACTTTGTGTGTGTGTGTGTGTGCATGTGCGTGTGTCTGTGTGCGTGCATGTTGGGGGTGTGTGTCACTGTGCAAAACGAGGACTGGGAAGTAAGATACCACAAAGACTTAGGATAGAACCAAACACGAATGGCAAAGCAAAAAGGAAGAAAAAGTCAACGAGATAATCCCTAATGACGTTCCACTCTATTCACAGATTGTTGCCTAGCACAAGTCATCAGAAAGGCTTCACCCAGCAACTGAGAAAAATGTCTAGAGACACTAACATTAGATGTACACAGCTCGGGGATCCTGCAGAAGAGAAGGCTGAAAGATTGTAGGAGCCAGTGGTGTCAAGGGCACAACAAGAAAACTCACAGAACCAACTAATCTTGACTCATAAGGCTCATAGAGACTGAACCAATAGCCAGAGCATCTGCATGGGTCTGACCTAGGCCCTCCACGTATATGTAACAGTTTTGTAACGTAGTCTTTGTGTGAGACTCCTGACAGTGAGAACAGGGGATGTCTCTGACTCTGGTGCCTGTTTTGGGGACCCATTTCTCCTATTGACTTGCCTCATCAAGTCTGAATGAAAAGGAAAGTGCCTAGTCTCACTGCAACTTGATATACCTTGTCTAGCTGATATCCATGGGAGGACCTGTATCTGAAGAGAAACAGTGGACGAAGAGTAGACGGGGCAGGGGGAGGGTAAAAGGGAGGTGTGGGGGAACTTGGAAGAGGGGAGAAAGGAGAAACTTTAGTTGGGTTGTAAAAGCAAACATAAAAACATAAATCAAAAAAGGTGTACATCACCATATGATTAAAATCCAAATATCCCAATATCCCATTGATATATGAATTTTAAAGGTATTTAACTAATAATATAACAATCTAAAATACTTTAAGTTGTATTTCAAAATGCAGTTTCAAAAATTCAAAAAGGCATTACCTAGGAAGATTAATAAAATCAGATTGTGAACCAACTACAGAGCACAGAAACAGTCTCAAACCATGACATATTCAGGTTCCTCTAATGAGACTTGGTATGCTTATACACAAAGTTGGACAAGGCCAAAGGACAAATGACAATGAACATTTTAAATAAATGATAGATGTTTGAAAGATTATAAAAATTTTTTAATCTATATCTCTCGATGTTAAGTACAGATAGCAGTGAGCATAAGACCACATAGCAATACTTGCACCTATGTCTCCCAGATCTCCTGAGACAGAAGCAATTTCATGTAATCATGAGGAAGGGGAGTAACAGGAGGAGACTTTTGTGTTCATATCTTTCTAGTCACACACATATAGGTACATATGACTTGCACTCTAATTGACTTAAAAGGACCAATGAGGGTGAATTCACTAACACATTAATAGACAGGTTAATAATGTGAGTTATTCCATTAGATTTATGGTAGAGAGAAAAATTATAAAGACAAAAGTATCTGGATGATGTCAATGTCTAGGCTTTCTTGAGAGAGAGAGAGAGAGAGAGAGAGAGAGAGAGAGAGAGGGAGGAAGAAA